ATCCTTCCAGGTGGAAGTGGTCCTGCCGGCATCGGGCAGGAGCAGCTAGGGGAGAGCAGAGCGAGGGGTCACTGCACCAGCACCCCAGCCCAGCTGGCAACGGCCCCAGGGAACACCCCAGCAAGAAAACCAGCCCCGTCCTCCCAGGGCCCCCGCTCCATCCTCCCAGCAGGGCTGCACCCTGCTGACAGCGGGCAGGGAGCTTGGGCAGCCCTAAACCTCGCTCCTCCCCGGTCTCCTGAAGATGCTGATCCCAAGGCATCCTGATCCTCCCTCCCATGTCCCCAAGCTGCTCCGGCTCCGGGACTCACATGGCTGTTCTCCACGTCCCGCTCCTCCTCGTTGACCAGCAGCATGTAGGGCTTGCGGGGCAGCCCTGGGGCCTTCATGCCCAGGATGAAGAGCATGAACGTGCAGATGTAACGCAACAGCCAGAAGCCAAACTGCACCTGGACGGAGAGCAAGGGGTCAGCACTGCAGCCGGCCCTCGGCAAAGCCCGGCGGGGCATGGGATGGGTGTGAGCTGAGCGAGCAAGGAGCCGGGCATGGGAATGGAGTACAGTGCAGCCAGGGGAGAGGGGACACCCCATGCAGCTCAGTGGGACCCCCTGGCTGAGCACAGCACAGCACCTCAGGCAGCACCCAGACCCCTTCCTTCCTCCCTCCCTGCCGTGTCTGGCTCTGTGCCCTCCGGCTTGGGGTGTGCCTGCCCTGGGGGGAGCAGGGAGGTAAAGGGCTGGGGGGAGCAGGCAGACCCTGCGCTTGGGGCTGGGCGAGGCAGGAGCAGGAGCTGAGCTGGATGAGGACACAGAGAGATGCGCGGTAGCTGGGCTCGGGGCCGAGATACGCGGCAGATGCGTGGGTGCAACCCCTGCCTGGGCATGGCAGGGCATGGCACGCACACCCCACCCCAGCACCGCAATGCTGCAGCCCCCTCACCCTGCAAAGGGCCCCATCCCCCCTGTCCCTGCCCACCGCCCCCCAGCCCACCTTCTGGTTGGTGTCCTCCAGCGCCCACCACCACAGCGGGCTCCTCCAGCACACCAGGGTCAGGTTCTCGGCGGCAAAGGCCAGCGCCCAGAAAAGCAGGAGGACGGTGCCATGGCCCCGCGTCCGGTCGTGCGCCAGCACCCGCGTATGCTCCAGCTGCAGGAGGGCGACGGCGCAGCCCCAGCTGAGGGCCCAGAGGCCGGCGTGCAGCAACATGTACCCGTAGAGCCGTCCTGGCCCTCCTGCTTGCCACAGTAGCCCACCGAAGGGCTGCAGGGCCAGGAGCAGGGACAGCAGGACCTGGCCGCGGTAGAGGCGGGAGCGGGGGATGTACTTGGGCTCCATGGCGCGGCCAAAGCGGACGTAGCAGGCGTACTGCAGGGCTCCCAGCAGCAGGCAGATGCTCAGCAGCACGGCCGGCACCAGCGTGAAGAAGAAGCAGGGCTGGAAACCCTGCTGGACCCAGGCCTGGGCGATGGAGCTGTTGCCCTCACAGTAGCCCCCCAGCACCGCCATCCTGGCAGGTCACCGGCTGCGGAAAGAAGAGGGGATGGAGCAAGGTCTCACGATGGGTACGGCTGCAAGGAGGGACCCACGGTGGGATGGCATGGCCGAGGGACGGGGCAAGCACCACCAGACACAGACACAGGGGACGCGCTGCGTGCAACACGCACACCCGTGCATGCAAGCAGGGCCAGCTCCGTGTGGGGATGAACACGAGCCCTGTGCCAGGATCCGCTTGCGGGGCCTGCCAGTGCCCTGGGCAGGGGGGGTAACCCTGCACTGGGCCCCCCCAGAGCCACCGGGGCCCCTGGGGACGCAGTCGGACGCGGGGGGTGGTGAGACCGCGGGGACGGGAAGGCAGAGGGGTGCTGGGACCGGCGTTGAGCGGTGG